CTCCTATGTCAGTCTGCTGAGTTGCTGGGATTCTAGGCATGTGCCACATACCTGACTTGTTATAGAAAAGACTTTGTAAGATTATGTTGGAGGAACTGAATGAAATTATGTTATTTTTATTTCAAAAATAAAAATTATCACTTTTAATTGAGAGACATGTTCTTTTATCCCGAGTAATGAAAACCATGGAGAAAGGAGGGAGAAAGAGAGATACCAAGGGATTTTAAAAGCCTACAAACAGGTTTATAAAGAAATACACCCTTAAGAGTGACAACACCATTGTAGTTTTTGTTATCCAGAGATCGAGGAAGTCCTAGCTTGTATATTAGACACCTTGGAAGTAAGGCTTTAAGCCCTTGAGTTTGTTTGTAACATTAAAGCCAAATATATGCAATTGCTGTCATGAAAAAATGAATTAAGATATATAAGACTAACTGCTTTTATGAGATATTGTTTGTGTAACTGAAGTTAGATTGGATGTTTTAAACAGCTCCTTCTAGGCCACAGTTAACCACAGTTAGTACATGCTCTTAGTCCTTCCCTGCCACCCGTACCCCCACTCCATCCCACATGCACACATGGACTATTCTGCACTTTGAAACACAAAGCAACTTGTCAGTTCAGTTTATTCAGTTAGGGTCAGTTCTGTGAAAACAAAGTCAAGGCAATTGTTTGATTTAATTGACTAGAGAAACTGGTTACACAGGTTAGTAGAACTTAGTCCAACTGCATATTTGAAGTTCATAAAGTAACTTAGTAGAATAATAAGATTCCAGGGGACATTGTAGTAGATTTTAAAGAATGATTACCAAAGCAAAGAAAAAGTACACTAAAATCCAAGTTATAGAAAATACTTGGTGTTTTTTTTTTCTTTATGGGTCTGCTTTAACTATAATGAATAGTGTCCAGAAATAGAAATCCTTCTGTATGTTATTCATCTCCTTTTCTTTGAAGAATTCTTTCCTGGACTATAGTTAACATAACCACAAGAAAATTTCCTAATATTTTTTAATATAATTTAGATAAATAATTTAAATTCTGTAATAAAATAGCCCACTAACTATAAGCAGACATTCTTAGTCAGTCCCTTCTTGGCCTCACTTTCCTTTATTCCCACCTGGGCCTCACAGTTTTCAGTTTAAGGATATTTTCACTTCTGCTAGTGATTCTTCCCAYCTCCCACTGTGTCTTCCACAACCTATCTCCCTGTTTCCTGCTTTATTATCTCCTGGGCTAATCACTTATTGTCTTATTAAAATGAGTAAAGAACTAAAAAGTTTAAATGCTAAAATAAATGTTTAGGACTCAATTTTTTAGAAGTATATAGATTTCATAAGTGTAATTGATTTGAGGGGAAAATAAAGATCATTTCTTGTCCCAGAAGAACAGCAAATCTTCAGCCTCAGTTAATTCGTTAGTGATTAGAAAGGAAAGGGGGGATTTAAAACATATATAAAAGACTAAAAATATATTGTCAAAGTCAGAATAGTTAGGAATGTTATAATATTATTCTGTGTATAATAAAATTCGCCCCACTCTATCCCCTCACTCTCATAATAAATGTCCACCAGTTTTGTCATGATTGTTCAGTTTTTCATATTCAACTTTAGAATACCTTTTTCAAAGACTTATAATGGTGCTGTGCATGGTGGTACATGCCTATAATCCCAGCTACTTGGGAGGCTGAGGCAGAAAGATCACTTGAGCCTAGAAGTCTGAAATCAACCTGGGCAACATAGGAAGATCCTATCTCAGGGTTGTGGGGGAGGCTCATTGTGTACCAAAATAAGGGCCTAGTCACGTTGAGATGCTTACCATGTTGTGGGGTTTTGGGGTTTTGGGTGATTTTCTCTTGTTTGTTTCATGGTGCTGGGGATCAAACCCAAACCTCAAGCATGCTAAGCAAGTGCTCTACCACTGAGATACAACAACCCCAGCCCGGTGTTGTTCAGCTCTTCAGTGATACATATTTTACATTTGCTTGAGGAAAAAAGAAAAACAAAAAATAAGCAAAACAAAAAAAAAGAGTTGTTATAACATTATTTAACCAGTCAGACATTGATAATATGTTATATATGCATTGCTGTAAGCAGCATAATTAAACTATGATACATGGGCTTGTTAGATAGTTTTGTAACCATTAAAAATAAAAATTCAAGATCTTCACCAACCTGGAAAAATTATTCTGATAAAGGTTATTATTCTAGGAAATGAAATTGACCAATTATGTTATATGTATGTAGAATGCATCACAGTATATTGTATTATTATATATAGTTATAAAGCACCAATTAAATTAATTTAGTCGAATAGGGTGGTACACAACTGTAATCCTAACAGCTCAGAAGGCTGAAGCCGGAGGATTGAAAGTTAGAAACCAGCCTCAGCAACCTGGTGAGGCCCTAAGCAATTTAGCGAGACCCTGTCTCAAAATAAAAAGGGTTCGGGATGTGGCTCAGTGGGTTAAGCACCCTTGGGTCAATCCTTAGTACCAAAAAATTAAAAATAATAAAAAAGGTCAGGCTGGGGATGTGGCTCAAGCGGTAGCGTGCTCGCCTGGCATGCGTGCGGCCCGGGTTCGATCCCCAGCACCACATACAAACAAAGATGTTGTGTCCGCCGAAAACTAAAAAAAGTAAATAAATATTAAAAATTCTCTCTCACTCTCTCTTTAAAATAAATAAATACAGGGCTGGGGATGTGGCTCAAGCAGTAGCACGCTTGCCTGGCATGCTCACAGCCCTGGGTTCGATCCTCAGTACCACGTACAAATAAAGATGTTGTGTCCGCCAAAAACTAAAAAAATAAATATTAAAAATCTCTCTCTCTCTCTCTCTCTCTCTCTCTCTCTCTCTCTCTTTCTCTCTCTAAAAAAAAAAGATGTGTTTGAATAAAAGCATTTTAAGAAAGCCTCCACTCAATGATGTATAAAATTCCCTATTAAAGAGTATTGGCAATTTTAAAAAATNTAAATACATACATACATACATACATACATACATACATTAAAAATCTCTCTCTCTCTCTCTCTCTCTCTCTCTCTCTCTCTCTTTCTCTCTCTAAAAAAAAAAGATGTGTTTGAATAAAAGCATTTTAAGAAAGCCTCCACTCAATGATGTATAAAATTCCCTATTAAAGAGTATTGGCAATTTTAAAAAATAAAAAATAAGTAAATACATACATACATACATACATACATACATACATACATACATAAAAAAGGTCAGCAGCTCAGGAGATGTGAGATAGGAAGATCACAAGTTTGAGGTCAGCTTCAATAATTTAGCGAGGCCCTAAGCGACTCAGAGAGACCCCTGACTCAAAATACAAAATAGGGAATGTGGCTCAGTGGTTATATGCCTCTGAGTTCAATCCCTGGTACCCTCCCCCAAAAAATAAAAAGAATTGTGGATGTAGCTTAGTAGTTAAGCACCCTTGAATTCAATCCCCAGTACCAAAAAATTTAAAATTTTTTTAAAAAGACAAAAAAGGTGGGGTATGTTGATCAATAGTAAAGTACACCTAGATTCAATTCCCAGAACCCCCCCAAAAAAATTACTTTAAAAAAGTCACACAACTAAAAAAATATGAAAAAAAATATAAGATTGTACATAGTACACTAGAAATGAACACTTGGAAAAATAAACTAAGAAAACAATTCCATTTACAGATAACATCAATAAGAATAAAATACTTAGGAATAAATTTAACCAAATAGGCAAAAGATATCTCATGTTCATGGACTAGATTTCCTGTTGTTAAGAGAAAAATATCACCCAAAATAATCTACCTATGATCCCAGCAAGTTGGGAAGCTGAGGCAGTGGGAACACAAGTTTAAGGTCAGACAGCAACTTTGTGAGATCCTGTCGCAAAATAAATAAATAAGAGGGGCTAAAGATGTAGTTCATTGGTAATGCACCCCTGATTTCAATCCCTGATACTGCAAAAAAAAAGAAAAAAAGAAAACCCATCCTAAAATTCCTATGGAGCATTAAGGAAGAGACCTCTAATAGCCAAAACACTCTTGATTAGGAAAAATAAAGATGGAGAGCTCATTTCCAGATATTAAAACTTACTGCAAAGTTACAGTAATCAAAATTGGGTCCCGCTGGCATAAAGATAGACACATAAACCAATGGAATAGAAATGAGAGCCAGAAATAAAGACATATACATGTGATGTGGTCAGTAGTTTTTTACAAAGTTCCTAAGACCCTTTAGTATGGAAAGGACAGTTTTTTCAACAAATGGAGCAGGTAAAGCTGAGTGTCTACATTAAAAAGAATGAAGTTGGACTCTGACCTTATACTATATACAAAAACTAAAAGTAAATCAAAGACCTAAATTTCAAAGCAAAGATATAAAACTTTCATAGAAGAAAACATCAGAGAAAATCTTTATGAGCTTGTGTTCGGTGATCATTTCATCAAAAAGACAGACCAAAGAAATAGAAACAAATTAGACTTGCATTAAATCTTATGCTTCAAAGGGCATAATCAGGAAAGTGTAAGGACAATGCCCAAAATGGGAGAAAATATTTGCAAATTACATATCTCATAAGTTTATTATTTGGAATATATAAAGAACTCCTAGGAATGGTGGCACATGCCCATAATCCCCAGCAGCTCAGGAGGCTGAGGCAAGAAGATCTAAAGTTCAAAGCCAATCTCAGCAGCTTGATGAGGTCCTAAGCAACTTAGCAAGACCCTATCTCAAAATAAAACATCCTGGGGGCTGGGGATGTGGCTCAGCGGTAGCGCGCTCGCCTGGCATGCGTGCGGCCCGGGTTCGATCCTCAGTACCACATACCAACAAAGATGTTGTGTCCGCCAAGAACTAAAAAATAAAAATATTAAAAAAAAAAAAAAAAAAAACATCCTGGGGATATGACTCAGTGGTTAAAAAAAAAGATTTAGTATGCTACATTTGTACAAGGACACTTTGAATGAATTTAGTTTATCTGATTTTCTAAAGTCTAATTAAACTTGTGTTTCTTTAGCTTGACAGAGCCAATTCGATGTTAAACCAGACGCAACAGCCTTACAGATACCTCATTGAATCAGTACGTCAAAGAGATTCCAAGATTGATTCATTGATGAAGTGTATAGCACAACTTGAGAAAGATGTCAGGTAAACCATCTATAAATTTTTTTGTTTGAATAATGACATTATAAACATAATACTGTTGTAGATGATTTTGGATTGTAAATTGTGAAAATAAATTTATATGATGAAAGTAGTCTTAAATGAGAATTCAGTTCTTCTCTTAAGAAAACTTGGTCACATCACATCAGGTATTTATATTCTACCTGATGATAAGAAATTTTAGCAAGGAAATAACTGCTACACTTACTAACAAAACACTCCACCTGTGCTGGGATTGTAGCTCAGTGGTAGAGCACTTGCCTAGAACATGTGAGGCACTAAGTTGGATCCTGAGCACCACATAAAAAGATGGATGGGGCTGGGATTGTGGCTCAGCAGTAGAGCGCTCTCCTAGCACGGGCAGGACCCAGATTCGATCCTCAGCGCACATAAAAATAAAGGCATTGTGTTGTGTCCATCTACACCTAAAAAATAAATATTTTTTTAAAAAAGGGATGGATGGATGGATGGATAGTGTCCATCTACAAAATATAAAAATAAACTTAAAAAAACATTCCATCCTTTCTAGGGACACAGAAGCTGTCCTGTGCTTGTTTTCTTAGAGTTGTCTAATGGGATGTGGATTGGCCAAAAAGACTATAACCAGATGCCATTTATGGAGTTAAAATAACTTTTTAAATAGATAATGTGTACACATTTACTTAAATTCATATTGACTTTGCCAAGGAATTTTTAGGCTTTTCAGAACCCTGGCCCTTTACATGGAATAACCTATGAATTACCTACATGTACATAAATGAATTCCTTTCACTACCTTAGTTTGAAATTTGTTTGCCTATTGAGACCTTATCCAGATGATTTGCTCCATTCAAATTCTTTGCCTTCATCTATATGATAATTTCAAAAACAGAAATAAAAGAATAATACTGCGTATTAAGAGGTTTTAAGAGCCTGGCACAGTAGCACACACCTGCAGCTTAGGAAGCTGAGGCAGAAGGATCACAAGTTCAAAGCCAGCTTTAGGAAATTAGTGAGGCCCTAAGCAACTCGGTGAGACCCTATCTCTAAATAAATTCCAAGGGCTGGAAATGTGGCTCAGTGGTTCAATTTGGGTTCAATTTCCAATACTGGGTTCAATTTCCAGTACTAAAAAGAAAGAAAAAGGTTTTAACTCATGAATGGTTAGTTAGTTGGCTTGGTTATTAAATTTTAAGATAAGTGCAATAATTTAAATTTTTCTGGATAAATTATTAACCCATCCTAAGTGTGAAAACAGAGCATTAAATAGGAATTGAAATTGTTGAATTAAAAATTGGAAAACATTAAGGAGAAAATAGTTATTAAATCCATGTTTCCTAAGGCATACAACCAAAAATATTAAACAATTCATAATTAACTCCAAAGTATGGCTGTTCTTTTTGATGAATCAGAATGATTATTGTCTGATTTTTACCCCACCAAGTTAATTAGTCCAGAACTATACTCCTCTTCTTAATTTTTAATAATGTGATAAAAAAATTTAAAATCACATTTATGCTTTAAACATCAAAATACTCACACCTCTAATCCCAGCTACTCAAAGAGATTGAGGCTGGAGGGCTGCAAATCTGAGACCAAACTGAGCAACTTAGAAACCTTCTTTCAAAATTAAAAAAATAAAAATTAAAAAAAATAAAGCCATAGGGATGTAGCTTAGTAGAACAGTGACCCTGGGTTCAATCCCCAGTATAATAATAATGATGATAATAATTAATGACAATAATTAATTAATTATGCTATTAGCAGCTATTGGGGACTACAGAAATTGTTTTTCATCATCTATTCAGCACTTGGTTTTCTTAGGGAAACTGAGGAAGAAGTCTCCAATATAATTTCTTTTTCTTTTTTTTTAATTGTTCTTTTTTTTAGTTTTAAATGGACACAATATCTTTTTACATTTATGTGATGGCTGAGGATCGAACTCAGTGCCTCAAGTATGCTGCATGCTAGGCAAGCGCTTTACCACTGAGCCACAACCCTAGCTCCTCCAATACAATTTCCTCCTCCTATGTTATATATTTATTATATTTGAAATTATTTGTAATATTTTTATTTTACCTTTATAATCATTAAGAGGATATATATAAAGAGCTGGAAATTACCCCTTTTACAGATACTTTCAAATAAATGTACTTGAATACTTATTAAGAATGAAATGGCTAAAAATGTTTAATATGGAGAAAAATAACTAAAAGAGAAAATTAGATAGAGGAACATATTCAACCCTAGAGAAATTAGACAACCTGCCCTCTAACTAACTATAGCTTTGTGGTAGAGCCAAAATTTAAATCCATGTCTGTCTGATTTCTAATTCTATATTCTGAACCATTATGTCACACTGCCTCCCTATGATCTATTCTGAATAATAGATAATTTTCATTAATTAATATAATTAAGGAAGAAAAGCAAAAAAATAGCATAAAATTGGGTTTTGAAAAAATAGTAGGGCTTCGTGCTGGTAATTGTTGAAGTTAGATGACTGACAGACATGTGGGGGTTCGTTTTATTTTCTCTCTTAAAATACTCTATAATAAATTTGTTTTTGTTTAAAAAAGAAAAGATTTCTGCAAGTCTGAGTCCAGCCTCAGCAGTTTAGTGAGGCCCTAGCAACTCAGTGAGACCCTGTCAAAAATAAAATATAAAAAGGGACCCTCTATCAGTGTAGCTAATTGGTAGCCCCTGGGTCAAATCCAAAAGAAAAGATTTCAAAAGGGAAGGTAGGCCTTATAGACTGGTTACATGAACTCAAATCTAGCCCAGTACTTAGCGTTGAATTGAAGCAAGTAAGTGAAACTCTCTAAACCTCCATTGTCATATAGAACTTTCTGCAGTACTAAAAATATTCCATATCTGCACTCTCTAGTACGTTAGGCACTTGCCACATGTAGTCAATGTTCATTTGAAATGAAGGTAGTATAACTGAGGGACTAAATTTTTTATTTTAATTAAGTTAATTTTCATTTTATTTGCTTCTGTGGCTAATGGCTGTGGTATTGAACAGCATAGCCAGACAGTTTCCACATCTGTGAATGAACTGATTGTTAAAAGAACCTAATTCTGGGGCTGGGGTTGTAGCTCAGTGGTTGAGCGCTTGCCTGGCATGCATGAGGCACTGGGTTCGATCCTCAGCACCACATAAAAAATAAATAAAAATAAAAGATATAAAAGCACCTAATTCATATGGTTGTTCTGAGATTTATAGTTTATTATTTTTATAATAGATGTAGTTTAATGCCTAAATATTATAAATATTCAGTAAACATTTGCTTTTATTAGTATTTATCTTACCTGTTAAATATGTATATGTTAAGCCAAGTGCAGTGGTACACATCTGTGATCCCAGCTTCTCCGGAGGCTGAGACAAGAGGGTCCCAAATGCCAGCTTGGGCAACTTAGATAGACCCTATCTCAAAATAAAAAAAGACTGGGTATGTAGAGGTCAGTGGTAGAGCACTTCTTTAGCATGTGCAAGGCACTGGATCTAATCCCCAGCACCATAAAAGAGAAATTATATTTCTCTAAATATATTGAAATTGATAAAAAAAAAATCAAGACTTCCTTTTAATAGCAACTGTAATCATTAAAGTTATGCCAATTATAGAATTAACTAGCAAAAAAATTTAGCTAAACATCTGAGTGTTTTAACACTGTTTTATAAATTTATCATATCATAATTTCTTAGATCCTGAATAGATATTTCACAGGATATGAAAGCTTGCTCTCAATTGAAGAACTAACTTCTTATTTGAAAAAGCAAAGTGTTTCCAGTCATTTAATTGTAGCATTCGAGATGCAACTATAGTTGTACCCTGGTTACATAAATGAAGTGATGTGATATGATGATGGCATAAAAGTGACAGCTCAGTCAACAAGTTGAATCTAGTAAGCTGGATCACTGTACTTACAATTCTGGAAACCTTCAATTTTTCACCCTACTTTGAGCCAATGGCATTTTAAGTCCTACAGTAGATTTATCCTGGGTTTTGAATACACATCAACCTGGCTTCTTCCCTTATGGTGAATGTATCTATAAAATTATACCCCAATGATTCAAATGTATGAATTGCCAAGATCATTGTAATGTCATGTGTAGCTGATTAAAAATATAATAATAAATAGATGGGTAGATTATAATGTGAACATCAAGGGATGGTTGAGAAAATTAAACACACTAACACATGTAAAGCTTCTAGCCAGGGCCTGCCAGGTGGCACACATGTAATTTCAGCAATTTAGGAGGCTGAGGCAGGAATGCAAGGTTTAGGCCAGTCTCAGCAACTTATCAAGGCCCTGTCTCAACATAAAAAGGATTAAGGATATAGCTCAGTGATATCGAACCCTGGGTTCAATTCCCAGTATCAAAAAAAAAAAAAAACAACCTTCTGGCACATGTGAGAAATTCAGTAAATGTAACTTCCACTCCCTTTTTCCTTTACTAATTCAAAAATTTAAGCAGTAGATGGTTCATCCAGAAAGATTAGTAAATTGTTATGTTTTTGAAAATGCCTGTTCTTTTTTGGTAGGTGTTGATTTTAATTATAAAGAGTATTTACATCAAATGATTATTAAAAATGTTTTTCTAACTTATAAATAAGATTTTTTTTTTTTTTTTTTGGTACCGGGGATTGAACCCAGGGGCACTCAACCACTGAGCCACATCCCCAGCCCTTTTTGGTATTTTATTTAGAGATAGGTCTCACTGAGTTGCTTAAGACCTTGCTAAATTGCTGAGGCTGGCTTTGAACTCATAATTCTCCTGTTTCAGCCTCCCCAGCCACTGGGATTACAGGCATGTGCCAGCATAAATAAGAATTGTTTTAAGGAACAAAATAATTTTGTGCTTTCCTTACAAAATTAAATGATACCTCCATATCACACTCACCCCCTTGCAAATCTTGCTATTCATACAATATATTCAATTTCTAAAAAGGTTAAAGCACATATACAGTGTAACAAAATCACTAAAAATGTGTTAAAAGCTTATATTTGAGATGTCACTGCTAACTGCTTCAAGTCCCCTATCACTAAAGTATTTACCAACCTAAAAGTAGAACTGTTAACTCTCCTCTACCAAACTGCAAGAGACAGCCTGGGCAATATAGTTTTTTCTCTACTAAAGAACCAAAGAAGGCATTCAAAGAGAATAATTAGCATAATTTTCTTTCCCTGGTGTCAGATCTCAGTTTATTCTTAACTAGTAACTAAAGAAGAAAAGACTACATTGTCAACTTCTCTTACATGGCTAAGCCAGAGTATAATGATCCAGGAAGTTAAGGAACAATATATCAGGAATATGTTTTCATATAGCAGGTAAAACAGCCATAAACATGAATTTCTAAGTAATAATTAACAGTGAATTTAACAATTATGGCTGTAATATACCATTCGAGATAGATGTGCTTATAAGGAGATTTGTAGTTGCTTTATGAGTCACACATAGAAGCTTTGTATTCTTAAAGGTAAGTTTCCACGGTTATGAAATATGTCTTACAGAGACTAAACTTCTGTTGAGTAATTACATATATACTAGCAGAATAGTGAATATGATCATGTCAAAGTTTTAGAGACTCCCATGTTGAAGGTAGTCTCTTATGACTTGAGTATATTATAATGAAGAAAAGACTTTGAAAATATATATCCAGATCTTCTAATCACAGAAATGTTGTCCATGGAGTTCATACTATTTGTGATAAGCCAGTGTCTTTCAGATACAACACAGTTGCTCTATAAAACATTTATCTGCCTGCCTTTTATTTCATGTTGTGTGCTTGGTTTGCTATTTAATCATAGAATATTTACTTTATTCTTAAAAAGTTAAACACTATATATAAAATATTTCTAAAGAATTATCCAGTCAAAATCCTTTAATTACTGCAACTGTACATTCCCTTTACACTACTTTTTATTTAATGGGCCTGTTGGCATTTGAGACTGTTTTGTACGCACTGCACATAGGCTATGTTTATATATTGTGTATTTGTGCATACTTACATATGAACATACAAACTTATCTGTTTCTTGAAAATTCCTAGTCCTGTTTATTGGAGTTTACTTCAATTTTGAAGAATATTTTATTTTCAAAATGATTCCAGCTAGAGAGAGAGAATTTTAAGAGTTTAATACCTGATCCTTACCCTGTTTGGGGGACTGTGGCAGAGCATGACACTCAGTTTCCTTTATACCATTTTGTTCTTTCAACTCCTCAGCCCAGTAGGATCTCTGGCGCCTAACTCTGAAAGTCAGTTTGTTTTTCTGCTCAGCTGCTTACCTTTATTGGCGTTTAATTACTGTTTTCCTGTGATGCCTGTTTTTCATCTAAATTAGTAATACTGTATAGCATTTATGTTGCGTTTTATGAGTTCAACACTTTATATAATCATACATTAGATAATTCACATATCCCTCTGGCATATCTGAATATTTTCCATTACTACAGATGTGAAAGCTAAGGTTCAATGGAGCAGTGTATATTGTGCTTTGTACTACGTAGTTGAGTCAGGGACTTAGTTGGAAACACAAGTCAGAATTGCATCTAGTCTTTCTTTTAGAGAATACTCCAAGATGCTTCCTGGGGGAAAGTTCTCAATTACTAGGAAGAAGGAGTATGTGTACTTTTCCTTCTTAAATCCTTGGAATTACCAGTTCTTCTAGAATATGTACTCCTTGTATTAAAAAAGCTTTGGAGGCTGAGAATGTAGCTCAGTGGTAGAGTGCTTGCCTAGCATGCATGAGGCCCTGGGTTCAATCCCTGGTACCACATTTAAAAAAAAACAAAAAAACTTCTGCCTAATACTTTAAAAATTGTCAGCATAGCCAGGTGCAGTGGCACTCACCTGTAATCCCAGTGGCTTGGGAGGCTGAGACAGGAAAATTGTGAATTCAAAGCCAGTCTCAGCAACTGCAAGAAACTAAGCAACTCAGGGAGACCCTGTCTCTAAATAAAATACAAAATAGGGCTAGGGATGTGGCTCAGTGGTCTAGTGCCCCTGAGTTTAATCCCCAGTACCAAAAAAAAAAAAAAAGCTTTCCATTTTCTTAAAGTATAGTATAAAGATGTTTTATATATTTAGCAAAACAATTCTCATTAATTTTACCCTTGTAAGTTTTGTCTGAACATTTGAGGAATTATGTTACTATGGTTTATTATTGCTTTTCTTAATTCTTGTGAGTACTGATTGAGTAAATTTATTCTGATGGCATTAGAAGAATATTTCACTTAATTGTTCTAATTTATGTATGTTGAATAGTAAAACTACAGACAATAGAAAGCAGGTCCCAAATATTTCTCTTTTAAAATATTAATATGTCCTTATAATTAGACCCATAGATACTTTTTCCCCTTCTTCTGTCAGAAAATTGGTCACATCAAGGGAAAATTCACAGTGCAGACTTAGAAACTTAAGATTGAACTAAGAATTCAGAGACAAAAATTATTTTCCCAAGTGTATCACAAACTAATTTATTTACCTAACTCAGTTATACCTGGTAATTTAGTGTGCAGTAAATTTAAAATTACTACTTTTAGTTTTTAAGTATAAATATTTTAATATGACCTCCTATATTTTGTGTTTTAATGTTTTACACTTACGTAATTTCTTTTTATCTTTAGTCTTACTTTCTTTTTACATTTTATGAATAAATAGTCAAATTTAAAACACTGATTTTATGCTTATGGTAGGCAAGAAAGTGTTCCTAGAAAGCCTCTCATTTTCATTGTCAAATGATTGTTGAAAGAATCTTCTGCTTGGTATCATGGTGCACACCTGTAATCCTAGCGACTTGGAGGCCAAGGCAGGAGGATCACATGATCAAAACCAGTTTCAGCAACTTAGCAAGACCCTGTCTCAAAATAAAAAGGGCTATGCAATCCGGATACCAAAAAAAAAAAAAAAGGTCTTTTGACAAAATGACTAGGCTAATCATTAAATTAAGCATTAAAATGACAGGTCTGATATCTTTATTAACTACAAATTGAATTTATCTTTTAAGTCAAACCAACTTGAAATCAAATTTAATTTATCTTTAAGATTTATGTTTACTATTTTGCTATTTAATATTTGTTAACTAAATTTACACCAGCATGATCACTTATTAAAATTCTGGGTTGTTTCTTTTTTCTAGCAACTTAAATAAAGAAAAGTCAGCTTTACTACAGATGAAGAATCAAATGGCACTAGATTTAGAACAACTTCTAAATCATCGTGAGGTACTTTTTCCATCTTATAATAATTTTTACCATTTTAAGCATTTTCAGAATCCATGTTAGGTTAGGATTATTGGATCCCAGTTGACTCTGTTCATTAACAACTTCTCATGTTTGCATCTCACTGTGATCTGGCCCTTTTCATTCAACTTGTGATATATTTTATTCTTAGAGTCAATTCTTATTTCTGGAATGCCCTTTCTCTTGTTGACCAGTATTGATTTGTTCACATTTCTGTCAATGAATTTCCACATTATTTATTCATTATCTATTTTGTCTCTTTCTGCCATGAGACAATAAATTTCTTTAGTGTGCCTCTGTCTATGTATGAGTGGACTCCCAGTTCCTAATATACAATATTTGTATTGAGCTTTAAAGTTCATGCAGTTCTTTTATTTTATTTCATTTGTTCCTTAACAAAAATCTTTTAAAATAATTATCCCCATTTTGTAGGAAGAAAAATGAGTTTTAAGTGGCTTGCCAAATGCTAGTTAGTACCCAAGATACATGCCCAGTTTTGTTTTGTTTTTTTAGTCTTATTTATTAAGGTATAATATACAAACAGTAAGATTCACTCATTTTGGCATACATTTCTGGTTTTTCTGACAAACATACAATCTGTAACTACTACCACAGTCAATATACTGAATAATTTCACCACCCCAAAAAGTCTCCCATGCACCCTTGGTAGTTGCCCCTTTTCCCTAATCCCCTGCCTTAACAACCACTAATCTATTTTCTACAGTTTTATCTTTCACGTAATGTGTCATAAAAATAAAAATTGTCAATATGTAGCCTTCTTTAAATATTTTTTTTATTTGTGGATGGACACAATACCTTTATTTTGTTTGCTTTATTTTTATATGGTGCCAGGGATCGAACCCAGCGCCTCATGCATGCTAGGCAAGTGCTCTACCACTGAGCCACAACTCCAGCCCCAATATGTATCCTTTTGAGTCTGGCTTTTTTCAGTTACTGAATGGGATAGTTCGTTTTATAGGCCTACCACAGTTTGTTGGTCTGTTCACTAGTTGATAGATATTTAAGTCATTTCCATTTTCAGATGTATACAAATAAAATAATATGGTATAGTAATATTATAATTATTGATTTATTTTATTAATATTTTGATGTAATATATTATGAAATTATAAATAAAGCAGCTTTAATTTAATCTATGAATAAAATAGCTGTATATAGATTTTTGTGTAAACCTAAGTTTTCATTTCTCTGGGTAATATCCTGGGACACAAACTGAGTAAATGGTAATTAAAGTGAATGTTTATAAGAAACTGCTAGACTTTTCCAAAATTAGTGGGGTTTTTTGTTTGTTTGGTGTAGGGGATTGAAACCAAAGATGCTTAACCATTGAACCACATCCCCCGCCCTTTTAATTTTTTATATAGAGACAGGGTCTCACAGAGTTGCTTAGGACCTTGCTAAGTGGCTAAGGCTGGCCTTGAGCTTGTGATCCTCCTCCTGCCTCAGCCTCCTGGATTGCTGGGATTACAGGAATGTGCCACCACACCCTGCAAAATGAGTATACTTTTGTATTTCTTTTTTTTTTTTTTTTTTTTTTTTTTGAGTTGCTTAGCTCCTCGCTTTTGCTGAGGTTAGCTTTATTTTTTTTTATTTTTTTAAAGAATTTTAATATTTATTTTTTAGTTTTCAGTGGACACAACATCTTTGTTGGTACGTGGTGCTGAGGATCGAACCCGGGCCGCACGCATGCCAGGCGAGCCCGCTACCGCTTGAGCCACATCCCCAGCCCATACTTTTGTATTTCTATCTGCAATTAATGAGAGTTCTAGTAACTATGCATCCTAGACAACATTGGTATTGTTAATCCTAGTTTATAATCCAAAGCATTTTTACCACTGGCCTATCTAATGCCTCATTTTAGCCATCTTTATCATTTTGGTATCCTAAAAGAGAAAGATACATTCAAAGCAGATCACTGACTCAAGAGTATCCTAAAAACATTGTTTCCTAGTCTGGAAAAGGTATACCAGCCATTTAGGAAGAAGCTACTATAAATATATTTTGAGAAAGATATATTAAGGACTATTACTGGAAGCAGTTTTAAGGTACATATCTTAGAAATGGTGTCAGAGAAATTGAAGGATTGTCTCAATCTTAGAAATGACTTCATTTGTTTCGTACTGGGGATTGAACCTGGGGTACTTTGCCACTGAACTACATCCCATCCCCAGTCTTTTTCTTTTCTTTTCCCCCACTTATTCCTAGAATTCTGCCTTCAAATCATTGTTTTTCTGCTGTGAAAGCCTGATTCATTCATTATGTGGAATTTTCACATGCTTTTGAAGTTGAATATTTAACATAGTATAATAATTACTGATGTCTAGTCAGTCATATCAACAACATTTTTTTCCATAAAGCTGCATAACAGTTTCTTTCTTTCTTTCTTTCTTTCTTTCTTTCTTTCTTTCTTTCTTTCTTTCTTCCTCTTTCTTTCTTTAGAGTGGTGGTTCTTATTTGATTTTAAAGAAATATGCTACACACTGCATATAAGCAATTTTAATTCATATATTTTATGTCATATTTGCAATCACTTGAAATGAGTCCAAATAATAACTGAAAAGTTTTACTTATATGCATTTCCTGCTACTGCAAGACATCAGTGAAATTTGTATGGGTGCATATCTAATTAAATAATTATCAGGTAGTTTTTATGTATTTGACAGTATATCTTCACTTGGAAATTATAGTTAATAATCTAATGTTGGGCTCTTCATAATACCAGCCATCTAAAGAAAAGCAGTGTTTTTTTTTTGAAGCAAAATAAAAATTAAAGCTTAGTAAAGAAAATCAGACCCAAGTTTGTTATCTTTTTCTAAGAACTATTAAATACCAACATGCATAGTGTGTTAAGATGCAAAGGTCTATGCAGGCTGGTTATATGGAAAGATCACCACTGTTGACCCCAGGAAACGCTTGGCCATTCACTTGATCATTTGCCCAACAAAACAAAGGGTCTACATAGCATTGAATGAATACTGATTTATTCACTTATGAATATTTATGGTTTTGAAGTTCACATGCTCAGAATAACCAATAGATAAGGGTCAGATAAAAATAATTGAGGGCCCAGGGCATACACTTGCAATTCTAGTAACTCTGGAGGCTGAAGAAAGAGGATTGCTAATTCAAGGCCAGCCTCAGCAATTATTGAGGCCCTGTCTCAGAATAAAATTTAAAAGGACTAGGAATATGGATCAGTGTGGTACTCCCCAGCACCACAAGTAAATAAGTAAATAAATAACCGACTTTTTTTTTCTATGCTAGGGATCAAACCCAGAGTCTAGAACATGCTGGGCAAGTACTCTTATTACTGAACTAAGCCCTAACCCCTCTTCCCTCTAACGCTTGATAAATATTTTTTGAAAGTGAAAATCAGAACCATTACTAGAGTGAGGCAAGTAAGGCACCTAGAGCACAAAATGTTAAGGAGGCGCCATTCTCAGGGCAGTGCCAAGTGCAGGGTCAACACCCAAGAGCCACTGCCTCTTGATAGTTTGTACCCAAGGCTACTAGTTTGCATCACACTAATCAAGGGCCTGGAAAAATTACCTAATTTAAGTCATAGTTTTAATCAATAAAATTTCAACAATTCAAATGAGCAATTTAAAAAGAGACCAAGTGAACATTTTAAAGTTTCTCATTTTGTTAAAGAGCTCTAGCTTGACTTTTCAGCAGTTACTTAGTTATGATGAGGCCGTACATGTTCCTGTAATGTGAATGAGATCACCAACTCACTTGGTGAAAATGAAATTAAATGAAAAAAAGAAAACGGGTAGAATAATTTTTTTCTTTTTTTTTTTTTCTTTTTTAGTACTGGGGATTGAACCCAGGGGCATTAACCACTCAACCACATCCCAGCCCTTTTTAATATTTTATTTAGAGACAGAGTCTTGCTAAGTTGCTTATGGCCTCACTAAATTGCTAAGGCTGGCTTTGAACTTGCTATCCTCCTGCCTCGAGCTGTCAGGATTACAGGCATGTACCACTGTGCCCTGCCAAGTAGGACAATTCTAAACAAAAAATTCTAAAACATTTGAAACCTACCCACAAAGAGTTTATCCTTTCTATATTAGTATTAGCTCAAAAATATTGACTTAAAAGTATCTATTCCCATGCTGAGAGTTAAGTTGTATTCTAAAGATTTTCAAAACTGCATATTGGCTTCCAATGCTATAAGTTTTTAGTATTTATATATTCAGGAAATAGTTCCATATATTTGTAATTATGAGTTAAGTGTTAGGTGATTTTTAGCCTTAACTGTTTTTTTTTTTTTAAGAGAGAGTGGGGGGAGAGAGAGAGAGAGAGAGAGCGAATTTTTTAATATTTATTTTTTAGTTCTCGGCGGACACAACATCTTTGTATGTGGTGCTGAGGATCGAACCCGGGCCGCATGCATGCCAGGCGAGCGCGCTACCGCTTGAGCCACATCCCCAGCCCTAGCCTTAACTTTTCTTTACAAAAATATTAGTCTAATATTATGTTTTTTAATAGTTTTTAAATGATATAAAAATACAAAGAGAAAGTAGGTATGAAAAAATAGCATTTTAGGTTGTCTTTTTGGAGTACAAAGTTCAGCTGCCTTCAATATGTTAAGTTAAAGGATTTGCTTAAACCAGACAATGGAGCACGCCTATAATCTCAGCAGTTTGGGAGGCTGAAGAATCATGAGTTCAAAGCCAGCCTCAGCAATTGAGCAAGACCCTCAGCAACTAAGCCATAAAGTAAAATATAAATAAAATATTTAAAAGGGCTGGGAATGTGACTCAATGATTAAGAGTTCCTGGGTTTAATCCCTGGACCAAAAAAAAAAAAAGGATTTGCACTATAAAATGCTAACTTAAAATTTCTATCATAAATTGAGGGTCTGRGGTTGTGGCTCAGTGGGAGAGCACTTGTCTAGCATGTGTGAGGCAGTGGGTTCAATTCTTAGCACCACATGTAAATAAATACAATAAAGGTCT